TTTTAACGAAAAGTAATCATTTGTTTTATGTTACATTCAATCGTGAGTTCATATTTACGGTCATGTTACTCAAAGAAATGTTTGCAAAAAATCGCTAATATTTGCTAACTAACGTCATATTATAGACTGCATGATAGTGCCACAACATAGTTTCATGTCTGATCAGGGCGATGACCACCGTAGACATTGAGGGGGGCTAGTCCCCCCAATAATTTGAAATTGCTAAACCCTTTTCTCAAATATTGCCAATTCGAGAGGGAGAAAGAGAGATGAACGTTGCGTGTATGCGCATCTCTCTTTTTAGAGTGAGTTTACTTTAAAAAAAAAAACAGCGATTTTATCCTCTCGTTGCTGGAAAATATAATGTATCGATTCAGTATTTAAACTGTTATTAATAAAAGTCGTGGGGCAGCGTTGACATCCCAATTCTTAGGGGAATATTTTCACCCCTACCCCTTGACACTCTGTTTCAAGGGACAAGGGGAAGGGGTAGACGGAGGGGAAGGGGAAGGGGAAGGGGTATAAAATAGAATTGGGATTGGGCCTAGGCTCATAATTTTGCTTGGTGGCTATCTTGGAAATGCCACCCAGCAGCTATTTTCAATTTGAGCAGAAAGCATGAGAATACAACCATTTAAAAGTATAATTTTAATTTAAGTGTATTCAACCGTTCTCTGTAATCGCTTTTTACCGAAATTGTGCTACTTTGCATGCCGGTGTGTTGCCGAAATCTGAGCTGGTGATGGACTGCTGTAAGCCGGGGGAACTGCGAACTGACTCGCGTTTCACTCAGCTGGAAAATGCCGTGACTTACTCCAAAACCTGCCCAAAAACAAACAGTACTGTGATTAGAGAACACATTTTTAACATAAAATTAAATTAAACTCAGTATTATAACAAATAATATCCATTTATGTTATGCAAGGCAAGGCATTGTGCGAAACGACCGTTGCTGATGCAGCTGAGTGACATCTTGTCCTTAATGTTGCGTTGCATAAAATAATACAATTTACAGCACAGCAAAGACTTTATAAATAAAATAAAATGTATACAAACCTTTATTTCCCTGAAGAAGTGCACCTAATCGGTAAGAACCTCTCTCTCCTGTAGTGGACACAAAAAGCCTGCACACTGATTGTAACTCAGCAGGTGGGTTGTTTCATTCGAGACAGGCTTAACCCAGCGGTTGGGTATAGAAAACAAAATAATAGGGCTGGTTAAAAAATATCGATATCTCGATATTAATCGATTCTCATTTTTACGGAACGATATCGATTCTTAAATCCCAAGATTCCATTAGTCTAGCCTGTTTTCAGTTAATGGACGGAACATTGAAGGGCACTTCCCATCCAATATAGCAATAAGCATTGTGCTTTGGTACTTTTAATATGAAACAAAGTCTCAGATTTCAAATTCTGTCCATTGTACTGCAGAATTCAAACAATAAATGGCACTGTTTAATGTGGAGTTACAGATCGCTGTAGCGCCTCAGTTCAACAGACGCGGCAGCGAGAGGCGCACGTGAACTGATCATCTCCTCCACATTAATACCAGTTTCAGCACAAAATAAACATGACTAAACATCCGAAGGTAAGTTAAAAGAAAGAGTACAACTTTACAATCTGTATCCTGTCTCATGTAATCGCTCAATCAGTGTTTCAGCCGCGCAAAGATGTCAATATAATGTCTTGTAAACAATGTCACATAAGGTCACATTTACCTCAGAAAAAACATATTTGGTGACCATAAACTCGTTAGTCAGCTAGAAAAATAAACGTTAGAGAGGGGCATTTTGCTAAATATATGCACCAAATAACATATTCATTATAAATTTTACTGTTCTTTAATGTTTAATTTATGTTTGAATAAATCCATCAAGTTTTTATGACAGCCACCATTATGTTTATATAAAAAAAAAAAAACGATTTGAAATATTATTATGTAATTGTAACCTTATTATTTAAAAAACTTAATTAAATGTAATTTTAACAAATCAGTCAATTTTAACCTTCAATATTATAGTAATGTAGTACCAACTGACTCTCATGTATATTTTACAGCATTAGTTGAGAGATTTTTTTCCCTTGAAAAAATTTGGCATGTACTGTACCTGATATATAGCCTATCCAAAATAATCGACATTGATTCAAATCATAAGCTTGTGAATGAGAATCGAATCATGAAATTTGTGTCAAAACTCAGCCCTAAAAAAATAACCCAGCATTAAAAACTAACAAAAATGTTAAAAACAACCCAATAAAATGACCCAACAGGCTGAACCCAGCATTTGGAATAAAAAAAATAAAAATAACCCAGCATTTTTAGAGTGTATGCATTATCACCGCTTAAACAATTCCCAGCTAGTTTTATTCGAAAACTTAATAACTTTCCTGAACACATCTGTCAACTGTCTGTCAACTGTCAACATTTTCATATAGACTATGGTTGTTTTTCAAATATTGTTGTGCAGCTATGCACAAAAACACTGGCTTTGAGTCATCCACTGAGTCATCGCAAATGCAGCCAGATGTGCTCACATATCCAGACCTTCGTTAGAGGAGTCAGAACTCCTGGGTTCACTCTTAGTGTGTTCACCTCCATGACGCAGCAGCTTTAGGTTCAATCACACATATTTGCCACCCACTATTGGCAGTGGTCTCAGATCCGGAGAAACCAAAGCACAGGAAGACAAACCTCATCATGTGCTCATAAATAGCCACATTTTCCCAAAATTTTGGGAAAATCAAAACTGATTCATAAAGACCATGTGCCTCATTGATGACAAGATGGGCTGCATTGAGAAACCACAAGAACAACATGGTGAGAGAGTCATCCAAATTCAAAGCAGAAAACTGGATTAACTGTGATGTTTAAAGAGCAAAATGTCGTTAAAACGTTGTGGACAGAAGTATTTATAAGCCCATTACAAGAGAAAGAAATATTTTGCATATCAGCTCATAAGCATAGATTACACTCATCTTGGGGGAGGGTGATGTGGGAAGACATGCAGAGTAAAGCATGAGTCAAACCAAACATCTGGCCTAGAAATCACTGAATCATCTGTTAAGCGACAATCTGTCTCTTATATGAAGAATTGAACTACATGGTGGTATGATTACTACAAACACAGAAAGCTCAGAAAGCACTTTTTTAAAAGTTTGATGATGTTTAAATGGGAGTTCTGTCAGCACAGTGGCCTCCATTCATAGAGAGAGAGGGTTACAGTTTTAAAATGAGAGTGTGCTGACATTTCCATGAATGACCTGCAAGATAGACTAAAAGTTAAGGCATACAGACAGATCCATCAAGCTGTAAGTAACAGAAAAGTAAAAAAGTAAAATGCTGTTTCACAGCATGGATAAACAAGACATATGCAAGTAGCGGATGCTATGAACTAAATTTCAGCAACAGTTTTGACTTGGAAAATTTGTAAATATTAAATCATAGCAATGTCACTGCTTACTGACATCATTACTATCACGTTTGGAATATATTTAGTGATACAATCTGTATTTTTTTTAGCAATTCCCAATGTGCTTAGCCATTGACACGATTATATCAGTCCAAATATCAGCCTATAAACATTTGACATTTTTTTTAAAGTGTAGCAAAAATAAAACAATGAGTCTAATGTTTTTTTTTCTAGATTATTGATGAGCAATTCCCAATGTGCTTAGCCATTGACACGATTATATCAGTCCAAATATCAGCCTATAAACATTTGAATTTTTTTTAAAGTGTAGCAAAAATAAAACAATGAGTCTAATGTTTTTTTTTCTAGATTATTGATGACATATTAAAACTTCATTCCTGCTGGGATGCATTTAAAAAGGCAAGGCAAGTTTATTTATATAGCATATTTCATACACAATGGTAATTCAAAGTGCTTTACATAAAAGAACAATAAAATAAAAAATATTTTAAATGATTTAAAAAAATTGATTTAAGAGGTTTAAAATGATTTTAAAACGGTTAAGAATAGAAAACGATTATACATAAAATATAGTGCAATCAGTTAGGACATCGCACAGTGCTCATTCAATAAATGCACAGCTAAACAGATGAGTTTTGAGTCTGCATTTAAATGTGACTAATGTTTTAGCACATCTGATCTCTTCTGGAAGCTGATTCCAACTGCGGGCGGCATAATAGCTGAAAGCAGACTCCTCTTGTTTTGTGTGAACCCTTAGTATTTCTAACGGACTCGATCCTAATGATCTGAGTGGTCTGTTAGGTTTATATTCAGTGAACATATCTGCTATGTACTTAGTCTTGACTGGAAACAAAACATCTAATTCTTGCAATATTTTTGAGATGATAGTATGCTGATTTAGTTACTGCTTTGACATGACTACTGAAACTAAGGTCTGTCTCCAGAATCACACCAAGATTCCTGACTTGATTTTTTCAAAGGTCAAAGCGGCTGCATTGTAGGCCTCTATATATGCATTTGCAGGTATTTCACAAGTGGTCCATGAGATTTAGGAATATCCATGGGTCTTGAAACTTTAGAAAATATCAGATGGTTGCCTTGAGATTAACATTCAAATTTCAGCCTCCTGGCTAGCTGGAAAGACTACTAAACAAAGTTAAAGTCAAGAAAGTCTTTTATTTTCCACTTACATCTGTTTTATGAGTCCTCTTTCAATCTTAATTTCTTTCTAAGGGTGACAGTAAACTGAGAATGACTTTATTTTACCACCAGGGAAGTGTTATTAAAGTTAAGAGATTGTCTAATTGGTTTCAGATGGATGCAGCGCCCTGAACCATCTGTGAATGGGACATGGGACATGGGACATTCATGCACTCCAACTGTTGCATGATCTCTATTAGATTAGGACAGACTCACAGGGTTCCTTAAACGGACAGATTTTGGTCATTACTTAACGCTGGTGTTGGATTAGAGACACAACAATATTTATAAAACAAAAGGTGACTGCGCTGGCAGTGGTTGTTTGCGAGCGTTCGCTTTGAATGAATTATTATCCTAAATTTTGTACGCAAAAAGCGAGCTTCAGATTGGGTGTCTGTCTGTGTGGCTCTCGTACGCGTGTGCAGGGGTAGTTCCTCCTCCAGGGCGGAATGTGGAGGTCAAATAAAAGCGCTCCGCACATCTGAGCTCTCCGCAGAGGTGCGTGCAAGAGCAGGAGGGGCAGGACGCACAGGGAGAGAAACGGGGAACTTGGAGACTTGAAGAGGCTGTGGTGAATCTGAATCCCTCAGCCAGTGAACTACCGCGTCTCCTCGAGCCTCCATTGCTAGGAAAATAAGGTTTAACTGTCGGTATACTTGTGCTTCATCTCACCTGTGAAAATGACCGGTGGCCCGTTGGGCACGGCGTTGGCGGTGGCTTTGCTCGCCTGTACTGTGCAGTGTATGCCGAAAGGAACGGGAAAACATAGGAGACAAGCTCAGGAACACTCGGTGTCATCCGTATCCCAAGGTATGCGGTCCTACATGTGTTTGTTTTTGTTTTGATTCATTGAAATGATCAATTTAGTAGCTTACTGTTGGTTTTACGCACGCAAATGGTTAATTAAACGCTGGAAAATGTGCATTAGGGATACTCTTTTTCTTCTTTGTGTAATCATGGTTTGTTAGTGAGAAAGTTAAAATAATGTAGAGCTCAGTCAGAATACTTCCATTGTGTCCTCTGCAGATGGCTGTGTTGAGAATGGTCAGCTTTATGGAGCTGGAGAGCAGTGGGAGCGCAGTTATCTGGGCAGCACACTGCTCTGCACTTGTCATGGAGTTTCTGGTATAAAGTGTAAATCAAAGCCTGATGGTGAGTTCTCTTACATTGGATTTGTCCCTTAAAGGCACTGAACTGGATGAATGTTTCCTCACTTGGCTAAATTAATATCCATTTATATACATGTAAATGTATTTTGCATTTGACAACTTTGAAGTGTTAACTCTGAATAGTATGAGGAACAAAGTCCATGTCTGTTCCCAGCTGAGGAAACCTGCTATGATAAAGTAAACGCTCGCTCCTATCGGGTTGGAGAGACTTATGAGAGGCCAAAGGATGGGATGATCTGGGACTGCACTTGCATTGGCTCCAGCCGAGGGAAAATCAGCTGCACTATTGCGAGTGGGTAGACTGGAACTTTCCTTCACTGTACTTAATGGCACTTTGGAAATTACGGTTTTTGGAGTTGTGCTGCTGTTTACCTACTTGGCCTCTGTTGTAGACCGCTGTCATGAGGGAGGGCACTCCTACAAGATTGGAGACACATGGATGAGACCCCATGACACTGGGGACTACATGCTAGAGTGCGTCTGTTTGGGAAATGGAAAAGGAGAGTGGACCTGCAAACCTGTTGGTGAGTTTGAGCATTGTAAAAACCCATCAAGATGGGAATGTTGGGGCTTTTTGTCTGTGTGTTTGCTATGATATATATATATATATATATATATGTATATGTATATGTATGATAGTATACTTTTAAATGAACTTTATTGATGACTTATCATGCACTACAGATTTTTGTCCAATCAAATGATTTAAAAAAATCAAAAATCAGCTATTTTGTTTTTAAAAGGGTCGATCCCTCCAATATGTCCCACCCAAATTGGGACACCCAAATTTGGGTTTCAATACAAAATATGTTGACACAGGCAAGAAACTGCAATCATCAAGTGATTTAATCTCTTTAATTATAGTGGTTTTGGACATGACTGTGATACATCATGTAAGTAATAGTATTAACAGCATCATTTTATTAAAACCATTTTTTTCTTGATAGCGGAACGCTGTTATGACAATACTGCTGACACATCCTACATGGTTGGTGAGACCTGGGAGAAACCCTACCAAGGCTGGATGATTGTGGACTGCACCTGTTTAGGAGAAGGAAGTGGACGTATTACATGCACATCCAGAAGTAAGAACTCCACCCTTTTTAGAACTGTGCAACAGTCCAAACCACACAAAACTCCCTTTCCCAAACTGCCATCTGTCCAACTGGATTTCACTTTAATTATCCACTCAAAGTGCAGTTTGAAAGTGCAGTTAAAACCCTCTGACTTCAGCACAAGGACTTATTAAACTGAGTAGAAGAGGGAAAACGTATTACCTTATTGCGTTTTTTAAAAATGGTTTATTTAGAAGAGTTAAATGCAACATGATTCTGATGAGAAACATCTGCTTTGTACGTTTGTGTGTGCATCACAGATCGCTGTAATGACCAGGACACACGCACTTCTTACCGGATCGGAGACACGTGGAGCAAGACGGATTCTCGCGGACATGTGCTACAGTGTTTGTGTACTGGAAATGGACGTGGAGAGTGGAAATGCGAGAGACATGCGTCACTGCACACCACTAGCCTGGGTAAAAACCTCACATTTTTGTTAAGTGAAATAAAGCTGAATAGTATATAAATATTAATTGAAAACCCTAAAATGAAAAAACCTGGCAAATTAATAACAAAAGAATTCAGTTAAAAGTAAAAAAGTAAAAGTTCATTCAAAATACTGTAGTAGTATATGAATAATACAACACTGACCTAAAAATAAAAATTCTGTCAAATTTGCTTACTCTCATGTATGTCCAAACCAATGTTGTTATTTTTGAAGAATCGTCACACAGCTAATTTTCATGTGACAGTTCATAGTGACCACATTTGTCAAGCTCACAAAAAAAAAAAAACACTAAAAACAAATCTGTTATAGCTGTGAACTGTGTCCTATTTACCACGTGTTTTGAAATCATAGAGTTACTTTGTGCAAAAGGCAGAAATCATTATTCACTGATGACATTCCCCTTCACAGCAGCTCTCAAATCGAATATGAGTGGCTCATTTTGGACGTCAGTGTCTTGACTGAATATCATGATGTCCAATCTATTTAATTTGAGACCTGTATATACTTAATCTTAACTAAAATGCACTAAAAATATGTTAATATAAATACATTTAAATTATTTTAAGATTATTTGGGATGCCCCTGGATGTTTGTAGAGGCCCCCTAGTGGGCCCCGGCTGCCTGGTTGAAACAAAATATGTATCCTTATGTGTTATTTTGTGCACTAGGTACTGGGCCTCGTGTGGTGACCAATGTCCAGCCTGCTGTGTTTCAGCCACAGGCGGTGCCTGAACACCCCATGGAGGGATCCTGTCTGAGAGACGCAGGTGTTTCCTACGCCCTGGGCATGCGCTGGATCAAGACCCAGGGCAGCAAACAGATGTTGTGTACCTGCTTGGGCAACGGTGTCAGCTGTGAAGAGTCAGGTTAGTGTCATTGTCGATCAAACTATCAGTGTTCATTTAGATGGAATGATGTGCTTGTATCTCATGTTTTATTGTCATGTGTGATGTGTGTGTGTGTGTGTATGCAGAGAGCCAGTCCCAGGTGTATGGTGGGAGCTCAGGTGGCCAGCCTGTATCTCATGTTTTATTGTCATGTATTGTCATGTGTGATGTGTGTGTGTGTGTGTATGCAGAGAGCCAGTCCCAGGTGTATGGTGGGAGCTCAGGTGGCCAGCCGTGTGTGTTCCCTTTTGTGTTCATGGGGAAAACCTTCTACTCCTGCACGTCTGAGGGACGCAGTGATGGGCAGCTCTGGTGCAGCACCTCATCTGACTTTGAGAAAGACTACAAGTACTCCTTCTGTACAAGCAAGAATGGTAAGTTTATATACATTATTAACTTTGTTTAATGTTTCTGAAATCTCTTATGCTCACCAAATCTGCATTTAGTTGATCAAAAATACAGTAAAAAACAGTAAAAAATGTTCAGTCTTCAGTGTCTCATGATCCTTCAGAAATCATTCTTATATGCTGATTTGCTGCTCAAGAAACATTTCTTATTATTATCAATGTTGAAAACCTGCTTAATATTCTAATATTTTTCAGCATTCTTTTTTGAATAGAAAGTTTAAAAGAACAGCATTTGTAATATATATTTTTGTAACATTATAAATGCTTTTACTGTAATTTTTCTGTCACTTTAATACATCCTGAATAAAAATATGAATTATTAAAAGTATATTATATTAAGTATATTAAAAGTATTAATTTCTTTAAAAAAAAACTTAACCCCAAACCCTTGGGTGACTGTTCCTGTCATAAATTTATTGGAAGTTAAAACTGCTACTGTTTTTCACCGGTAAATATCTTCATTTTTTAGTTATGGTCACAACAAGAGGGGGAAACTCCAATGGTGCACTCTGTCACTTCCCGTTCCTTTACAATGGCCGTAACTACACTGATTGCACCGCTGACGGCAGGAGAGATGGCATGAAATGGTGCGGCACAACTTATAACTATGACCGAGAGCAGCGGTTTGGCTTCTGTCCCATGGCAGGTAAGTGCCAGTTTTACACTAGCAATAAATGTTGGAGCCAGAGAGAAAGAGAGAGTAGCAGGTTATGTCTTGACAGGAGCTTGGAACATTGGAGAATGGAGAATTATAATGTTATGAAAGCACTTTAGCCCTCTAACTATCCTGGATCTTAATAACGTGCCTTGAACACATCATTTTATCTTAAACTTCTCTTAAACATCGCATTTCAGTTCCCATTCTTTTCCTTACTTCGGGCATATTAGCAAAAAGACTGAACAGATAAAATAAGTGTCATTACATGCGTCTCACAGCTTTTTCAGTTACCTTGTGGTCTGTATGGGAGGAGATCTGATAACAGTTAAGACATGGATGTTAACTATGTGAAACAAAAGATCACTCTGCACCTATTCAGCTGTATTTACATAAACACCCCCTTCTGACTGAGCTTTGATGGGTGTCTCTGTCACCAGAGTGCCAGTTAGAGCCAGGCGAACCCTGGGGAGTTTATTGATATTGGTGGGATTCAGTGATCTGACATAGATTGAAACCAGAGCTGCTTTTTGTGTTGTCCTGTCGTGTTTGTTTTGTGGGGGGTAGAGATTCTTGTCTCAACATAGCAACCATTATCATACATCAACTGTTTTGGTTTTCAGTACAATGTGCAAAACGTGGGTAGCTTCGAAGCTTCGGCTATTGTTTAAGCACACATTTTTGTGATAGCGGTGGCCCCTTAGCTGTGCGGGGCTGCAGACAGAGGGGAGCTTGGCTTTGGACCAGAGTCTGGTTGGCAGTGGAGCATATATATCTGGCTGGTCTCCAGGGCAGCTGTGTAACCTCCTCCACTCTTAACCCTGGAGAGATTTCCTCACTCTTGTCCTCTTTTATTAACCAGATACACCAATCAGAGATATCCCAGTTAAAACAATAAGGAACTGCCTTGGGCTTTATGGATCTGTGGTCATTAGGATTAAGTTTTAGCTCTTTGACCCTAATTGACCCCCGAATTGCTTAACTGATTAATTATACTGATCTCTTTAGGCCATTAAAAACAATTCAGTTAACTGGATTGGGTTCTTCTTCCTCAAACTAAATTTTAACACTGCTGTTGTAGAGCTACTTTTGGCTGAATTAAGTTTGTTTCATAATTTGATGAACTTTCACTATTATTGAACTAAACTAAATCAGCACTGAGTTGAATAATGACACTATTTCCTTCCGTAGAGCTGCTTTTTTGTTAAATTGATTTTGCTTTATAACTAATGAACTTAGTTATAACTTAATGCAACATTAATTTAAACTTCAAAATAAAATTTTTAATTCAATTTAACACTGAGCTAAATTGAGCTGAATAATGACACTATTGCCTTTTTTAGAGCTGATGTATGGCTTAAATTGTATTCGTTTCATAATTGAAGAACATTATTACTGTTATTTTCTTGTTTACTACTGTGAAGCTGCTTTGAAACAATCTGTATTGTATAAAGCGCTATATAAATAAATGTGACTTGACTTAATTACTTAATTTAAAAGCTATAGTTGCCAATCCCCCAAGTTCCCATTGAACCATTATGGCTCCTGCTGTACTTCATGCTTATTCTTGTTCTATGAAGGATTTAGGAGGTTGTTATTTGGAAGTCCTCAAGTGCTTCAAAATAGATATATGCTTGTCTCATTGGCTGAATAGCCTTGAAGTTTGGTTAGTTTTTTTGCAAGGCAGTTGAGGAGAATTTAAAGATCTGCAGGTTTGTGCACAATTATTTCAGCAGTTTACTCAAATGTTTGTTGATCGGTTTCCATCAGCTCATGAGGAGGTGTGTACCATTGGTGAGGGTGTGATGTATCGTGTGGGTGATCAATGGGACAGACGCCATGATGTTCTGGGTCACATGATGCGCTGTACATGTGTGGGCAATGGCCGTGGAGAATGGAGCTGCATCGCCTACTCGCAACTCAAAGGTGAGACTTGTCATTTCTCTCTCCCATTTGTAATGAGTGCGATGAAGTTATGTATCATTGTGCAAATGTACATATATGTCTTTTCATCTTCAGACCAGTGCATTGTGGATAATTTGACCTACGAAGTAAATCAGACTTTTACTAAACGTCACGACGAAGGTTACATGATGAACTGCACCTGTTTCGGTCAAGACCGTGGACACTGGAAGTGTGACGCTATCGGTGAGCCGGCCGCTTCTAGAATTTCATCAATTAAAAGAGAAATGAGACATTTGTCTTCATTTGCTTAAATGAACATTTCTTGAAACAATTAGAGTGTCTTTTCCTCCAAATTGGAGCCTTAGGATCAGCAGTTTTTAGCCTTGTTCCCTATAAATGACCGAACTAATTATTGGATAATGACTGTGTTACTCCAATTTTAATTTCCAGATCAGTGCCAGGAGCCAGAGACTAGAGCGTTCTATCAGATTGGAGAGTCCTGGGACAAACTCATTGAGGGAATCCACTATAAATGTTACTGCTATGGAAATGGCATCGGAGAGTTGAGCTGCGAGCCTCAGACTTTCTCTGGTGAGTAAACAGCATCTTTTATGGGGCACATGTTCCCTCTCTCTCTCTCACACACTCTCTCTCACACACACACACACACACACACACACACACACACACACACACACACAAATAGAGTATGTGGGTCATGCTGTGTACTGCTATAAGTAGTCTTGCGGGCATGGGTGGGCATGAGAGGTTTGGAAGTCAAAGGCTTCCAGATGTTTACTTGGAGCAAGAGTGCTTTTTGCCGTTTCTCCCAGGTGTTTTGTTGGAGTGGCAAGGTTAGGTTAGGTTTCGCTCTTCCTTGTGATCTTTTCTTTTACAACTTTTAACAAATGCTCATCCTCTGGCAGTGTTTGAAATCAAGGATGTTGGTTTTAAGATGCCCTCATCCACACCTTGATTTGGGTGGGCCCGTGCCTTGTGTTTGCCGTCTGTTCTTTTGAAGTTCTGTGGATGGAGAAAAGCACACACCCAATCAACACAGCTGTCTCAATCACCCCCTACAGCCCTTTTGGCACTGTTTGTCTTCGAGTTTCTTTCGTCCTGTGCTAGGAATAAGTTTGAAATTCAACCAAACCTGTTACTTTTTCTGCTCGCACAGCATCTGTAAAGTCATTTAGCCATTATATAGTTTCCATTGTTAATGGTTGCCTCAAGTCTCCAAACTTTTGTAGAGGAAATCCGACAAGTAGGGCTGGACATTTACATTTAGTCATTTAGCAGACGCTTTTATCCAAAGCGACAGTATGATGGTAGAAATGTGAGATTCTACTATTAAAAAAAAATCCAAGATTAAGCTATATATATCATATATTGAGTACATTTATTAGTGACTAGAATGTTGGCAAATTCTATGATCTTTACAAGCTGCATTTGATTTTTGAAAATACAGTAAAAATAATAATATTTTACAATATTATTACAATTTAAGTATCTGGTTTATATTTTAAAATGTAATTTATTCCTGTGACGACACAGCTGAATTTTCAGCAGCCATTACTCCAGTCTTCAGTGTCGCATGATACTTCAGAAATCATTGTAATATGCTGATTTTATTCTCAAGAATAATTTCTTATTAGTGTCAATGTAAAAAACAGTTAATATTTTTTTTCTGTGGAAACCATAAAATATTTTTTTCAGGATTCTTTGATGAATAAAATTGTAAAAGAACAGCATTTATTTGAAATTGAACTTTTTTTGGTAACATTATAAATATTTTACTGTCTCTTTTAATCATTGAAAAATCTTTCTGACTACAATATTTTGAAAATTAGATATATAATATGATATAGATTTTATACTGTTACTGTGATATAAAAGTACAATATTTTGGTTGTATCACCAAACCCTAATGACAACTGCAGTGTGTTGTTGTTTTTTTAATCCAATCCTTTTTAGCCCAAACGGAATTTGTGAATTACTTGTATTTATACAGAACCACAAAGCTCCACCACAAAATCCGAAAAGGTCAGCATTAATAAAGTTTTCTCTTTTTGTAAGAGCTTGTTGGGGTCAGAAGTGATCCCTTTGCTCAGAGAGTGGAAGCAACCCCAGAGCAATATCCCTCAGTAATGGCGGCCAGCTGTGAGAAGGCTGGGAACAGCGGGGGTGAAACTGGTGCAGGCTGGCGGAACGTAATGCAGACTAAGTGAACTTTAAGTGCTGTACAGACTACCCTCATGGCAGTAATTGGGAAAAATTAGGACCAGATTGAAATCAGAAGCAATTTGGGGATATTGCCTTATGAGACTGCAAGACACTTGAAGAAAAATGAGTTTTATATATGGTGTTGGGTAAATAATAATAGAGATTTACCACTTCAGAAAAGTTGCTGGGGGTTTCAGAACTGTTGTTATTGTTAAAGCAGTTTGTCTGCTGGATTGAAAGGTTTAAAAGCCCGAGACGGTGGTGGTCCTCTCATCCTCGTGTCTCAGTGCTGAATCTGTGGTAAGAATCTCACAGGCTAGTGTTACGTTTCCCATTTCAGGACCAGAACACACTAACTCTTTCCTAGAACACCTCTGACAACCATAATGTATTTTTAGGACAGAAAACATCTTCGTTTGTTTTCAGCATGCCAGTTGTGGAAACACTGTTTAAATACTCTATTTGTTGTTTTACAGTATTAGCATGATGAGCAGCATGATATTTTCTAAAGACAGATTTTACGCCTTGCAAGTATAGGTGCTCTTGGCTGTAAAAATGATTCAAATATTGAATATCTTTTATATATCTCTATCAGGTGATCAGCGTACAGTGCAGATGATTATATCAGAGTCTGGCAACCAGCCCAACTCCCACCCCATCCAATGGAACACGCCGGCTACTGTACACATCACACAGTACATACTCAAATGGAGACCGGTGAGTCTCTTTTGTGACGCTGTATGCCCTTTGCTCGTTAAATGAAATTGAGTTCTGATTGCATTAGAGAGGTTATTTATCTAATAAAAACTATGGGTGCCTGTTGAGCTGCAACCTACTCGTTTTTAAACAGAAAAACACCCATACCCAATGGATGGAGGTCACTATTCCAGGCCATTTGAACTCTTACACTATTGCTGGACTAAAGTCAGGAATCACCTACGAGGGTCAACTCATCAGCATCCTGCATTTTGGACATAGAGAAACCACTCGCTTTGATTTCTCCACCGTGCATGGCTCATGTAAGTCATCCAATGATGTAAATGGCTATGGGTCTCATTTACTAAACGTGCATGCACATGTATTTGTTTCTAAAACCACACAGTTTCCAAGCATAATTAATTCCTGAATTCATCTGTAATCTGAATGGGATTTATTGTATCCAAATGTTTGGAAGTCATGTTTGTTAATGTTCCCCTTTCTGTTTCTTCCCTAGTGACACCCTCTGAGGGAGAGACCACCCCGCCTCCTCCGATGGTGGACACCTCTGAGTCTGTGACTGAGATCACTTCCAGCAGTTTCGTCATCTCTTGGGTGTCTGCGTCCGACACGGTGTCTGGATTCAGGGTGGAATATGAGCTGAGTGAGGAGGGAGGGCAGACCGGACAGCCCATGGTCTTGGGTTAGTATGTGCATTACAAGTTTGGCATTTTTATTTTAGTCAGCTGAGACTAGCAAACCTCTTTGTCTGCAGTTGATTTGTAGAAGTTGAATGCACCTATATTTGCAATACCTGCTAACTTGAGTATCCGTTTCCAGACCTTCCTCATACGGCTACATCCGTGAACATCAGCGAACTTCTCCCAGGAAGGAAGTACACTGTAAATGTGTATGAAGTGACTGGAGAAGGAGAACCTAACCTGATCCTAACTACTTCCCAGACTACAGGTAATCCTTTCCTATTTGTCTTTTTTGCTTTTTCTTGGTCCCTAGGACAAGCCATATGTGACTTAACATATTTCTGGGTGCACTAAATATTCAGTATAAAGTGGTGTAGAAAGAGACTTATATTAGACTGTAATATACAGTTTAATATAATATAATATAATATATAAAAAGATTAAAGTAAATCAAATTTGAGTGCTATAGGAAGTCAATTTCTTGTCGACTTTCAGTTGCCACTGAGAAATACTCTCACTTAAAGTATTTCACTATATGATGTGATCTTTTTGGCACAGCTCCTGATGCTCCTTCTGATCATGAAGTGGAGGATGTGGGGGAGGCCTCCATCATCATCAGCTGGTCTAAACCTGTGGCTCCCATCACGGGTAAACGCAGGCTTTTAGTCTGTAGTAAAACAAACCATTATGTGACCTATTCACAAGTTGTACATAAATGTATGTCTTGTTTATTTAGGTTACCGTGTGATTTACACACCATCTGAAGAGGGTAGCTCTGGTAGTACTGAGTTGAATCTGCCTAACACAGCCACCTCCGTGACCCTGGGTGACCTTCGCCCTGGTCTGCTCTATAACATCAGCATCTACTCGGTGGAAGAGAATCTGGAGAGTGAACCTATTTTTGTTCAGGTCACAACTGCTGGGGAACCACTGGCAGGTATGAAATCACTATGTGGGTGAATCTCTAAAAAATTATTATGAGGTGACAATGCAAAAATAATTAATTTAGGTTTTTCTAGATCTGTTCTTGACAGGTTTTATGAGATTCACCCTCATGTTTAGAGAAGAGATGTGTTACTTGACCTCAGATGCGTGTCAGGATACATCTGAAGATAATAACTTCTCTCTGTAGTGCAGTGGAAACATAACATGATGTCATCAAGCCATAAATGTCTTTTATTGTTTTCTTTTGACTAGATTTAGGTGCTTTGTCTGGCAGCCGAAAAATAAGATCACATTTCAGTTGAGTCAGCTAGTCTGCGTCCAAACGCCTGTGAATCCCTTATAGGGTAATATGTTGAAAGTGTGCAGATCTTGATTTTTATGGGGACTGACTGGGAGAACATTTCAGAGGTCTGACTGTTTCATCCTGATCTGGCAAATCGGCAAACATTGCAACTTTGCAAAACTGTCTGGGTCTCAATGAGGAGACATTTGTCTGGTGTTTACCCACATTGACTTTTATAGCATGCTCTGATTCTTCTATGACGTAATCTTGATGATGCGAATGCTACAAAAATGGTTCCACAAACATTTTAGCTTCACATGCAATCAGGTTTTGATGGTGAAACATTATAGCTGTTTTTAAAACAGTCCTGAAAGCCTATTATTCTTTCCCTGTCAGGCCGGCTGGTCTGTCGGAAGGGTGTCTGAATTCCTTTGCTCAGATGAGCAAGTTTTACAGAATGGTAAACACATGGATTGCCATGTTTGAATGAGAGGCTACAATAAACTTAAGCCCTTCAAAGCAAGGTCAGAATCAGATTTTGTGACTCAAGAGGTAAAAAAAAAAAGGTTTAGTTGAAGAGCAAGTATTAGGATAGCATGAAACTTTATCCATGGTAATCTGAAAGAGGAAAAAATATTGTTTTCTACCCACAGAGGAAGTTGCGTCTCCAACCGATCTGCAGTTCACTGAGTATACTGCCACTCTGCATGCAGAAAGAGGCAATGTGCTTAGTGAGGAGTCCCTCGCCTCCTTCACCACAAGTGAGTTTCTGTTTTAATTTTTTAAAGCTCCAAATACATTTGCTTAAAGAGTGCTAATGCAATAGTCCTGCATTTTCTGGATTTCAGTTCAGCCAATGGGAAATGCTCCTTACTTCAGCACTGATGTCACAGACACCTCCATCATTGTCTCCTGGACCCCTGTGCCTAAAATTGGATACAAGGTACCGTTAAAACATGCCAGAGCCATTTTGGCACAACTATAGGCAATCACTCTTGGTTTAATGGCTGTTGTAAGACGCATGTGAAAGTACTCTTGAGAAACTGACTTTTGACATTCTTTTCTCTCACGTTCACACACATTTCAGCCATGATTACTCAATACACAGTGTTTACGCTCTAATTCTGCTCTGCAGTTGACCGTGAGGCCCAGCCAAGGTGGAGAAGCTCCAAGGGTCATGATCTCAGAGTCTGGTAGTGTCCTCATCTCAGGTCTAACTCCTGGAGTTGAGTACACTTACAGCGTCCAGCCGGTCTTCGACAGTCATGAGCATGGCAACCCCATCACTCGACGCGTGGTCACTCGTAAGTGTGAAGAAACAGTCCTTATTTTATTGAGTTTATTGAAGATGTGGGAGTGTGAGAGAAACGTTTCTCACACTGTTGGTGGAGTCGTACAGCTGTCTTATGACTATCTGTCTACAGCTCTTTCTCCACCCACGGATCTGAACCTGGAGTCCAACCCGAACACTGGAGAGCTGACGGTTCAATGGAGCGATGCTAAAATCCCAGGTTAGTACTGAGATATTCCTCATAATAGAACAAATCCTGTTTTATATGTGCTTGTTAAATTTTCACAATTTTTATTTGGCAAGGACACATTAAATTGATCAAAAGTGATGCTAAGGACATATTACTGTGTACAAAATAATATTATATTTTGAATAAATGCTGATCATTTGAACTTTGTTCATCAAAGAATCCTAAAAAAAGTGTAGCAGTTTCCACAAAAATATCAAGCAGCACAACTTTCAACATTTGATAATAGTAAGAAATGTTTCTGGAGCAGCAAATCAGCATATTAGTATGATTTCTGAAGGATCATGTGACACTGAAGACTGAAGTAATGAAGCTGAAAATTCAGCTTTGCAGTCACATTAATAAATTGCATTTTAAAATATATTAAAATGGACAGCAATTATTTTAAATTGCAATAATATTTCACAGTAATACTGTTTTCACTGTATTTTTGATCATATAAATTGAGACTTTGATCAAAAATACAGTAAAATGAGTAAGAGAACAGTAAGGGACTTTTCCAAACATCAAAGAAATTTTACCAATCCCAAACTTGTTGTCTTTTATATCTTATATTTCTAATTATAATATATATATATATACAATTTATTTTACATAATAGTAATTGAAATGAATAAAATTGTCATGCAATTTTCATATATATATATATATATATATATATATATATATATTGTACTCTGTTGCTAAATATTTCATCAACAAGAAATTGATTTGTGAGAGAATCATTCTCTTATGCTGATCTTCATCAATAAAATCAATCAAACTAGTTCATCATTTTCCAAACACATAAATTCCAATGTTCCAGCAATTGCGTACAAACAACTAAAAGTTTCCATGAAAAGTCATGGAAATTCATTTGGTCTAAAATAAAATGCAGGAACACTGTATAATGAAAGTATGTTCTGTCCTTTCTCAAATGAGCTCATGTGTTCACTATGCAAATGCACTGCTTGCTCTTCCCTTGGTAACGCTTGTTCTGTTCCCGCAGACATCACAGGTTACAGGGTGACCTGCACTCCCACCAAAGGGCAACAAGGGAACTCTATAGAGGAGTTTGTGAAGGCAGGACAGAACTCGTGCACGTTAGAGAATCTGAGTCCAGGAGTGGAGTACAATGTCAGTGTGTTTACTGTGAAGGATGACATGGAGAGTGTTCCTGTCTCCACCACTTTGACTCCAGGTAGGTCTTAGAGCTTTTTTTGAATCACAAATCACCACTCACTTCAATTTCATGTCAGTAACTATGCATAAACTGGGAAAGCATGTGTATTGTAATCAGTGCAGTGCTTGCTTTTAATGTCTATTTAGATATTAAATACAGAGAACAGAGAAATTACATAATACACATTGCTTTCTCAGTAATTTTCAATAAAGCATATGTTTCTGTTGTCAGCATTAATCCTAATCAGACGATTTTGTGATTGTACTATTCTCAAATCACAAATTCCTAACACTCATCTCCATGGTTCAGTATTCACAATATGAACCATGAAGGATCTGTTTTCTGGTCAGATGACTTACCTCATCTTTCTGTGTTTTGTCTATGTCTGTGTTGGGTCTCTGGCACCTTCTCTCCTCCAGATGTGCCCAAAATAACTGACCTTAGCTTCATCAACATCACTGACTCCACTATCGGCCTCAGCTGGAGTCCTCTTAACTCTACCGCCGTTACCGGCTACCGCATCACGGTGTTGGCTGCTGGGGACAGTGTCCCAATCTTTGTTGAATTTGTGGAGCCCACGGCAGGCGTTTATACTGTGCATGGTCTGGAGCCCGGTATTGATTATGACATAACCGTCACCACAGTCACAGAAAATGGAGAGAGTGAACCAATCACCATCACCCAGCAAACAGGTAAGAGTTTGTGTGTGTGTGTGTGTGTGTGTCTAACTATACTTGTAGGGACATGTCCTTGTAGGGACAATGTCTCCAGGACATAGAAATCTGACAGAAATAAGTCTTTGTTGAGGACTTCTTTAAAGAAAAAGGTTTAAAATAAGGGTTTTCTCTTTAATCTCTTTTGAAATTTAATGTATTCCTGTGATGGCAAAGCTGAATTTTCATCAGTCAATTACTTCAGTCTTCAGTGTCACATTTGACAGTTAAACAAAGTATAAAGTACATTTCTTTAAAAAGAATCTTACTGACCCCAAACTTTGAATGGCAGGGTATATGAAAAATATGGGGAAAGTAGAGTTTGATGTTAATGGGAATTCAAAATAATAAAGTAAAAAAACAAACAAAGTGCTCCTTTAAGTGGTGGTCAGCACTTAATTAATAAAGTACTATTATTTTGTTACATTTTTACATTTTAAACACATGGACTAGAAATAAAGAAAAAACTGTGAAAAATATAATGACCTGTTGACCCAGATGAATGTGCAATAAATCTGTGCCTTCATACATGTTAAATATTCCTGCTCTTTGTTGCTACAGTATTTCTTTAAGTACATATGGCAGCCATATCCCGGTCTGAAAGCCGGTGTGTCTTATTTCAGCACTTTATCCTTTTTCATACTCTTCCCCCACTCCTTCTGTGTTTCTTACTTCCTCACTCTCTTTTTACTGAAGAAAACTGATGTGTAGACCAGACCCACATGGCATCAGACTGTGTGACGTCTGCTTTCACATAAACAGACTCTCAGTCAGACCTCTAAAGATGGTGCTCATTTTCTCACTCTTTCCTCCACCAGTGGCTTTTAAACAAGCCATAAAGCTTGTTATGGCCGTAAAGCTAGAGGTTCACATCTCACTATTTCTGAATAAAGTGTTTTAGTACTTCAAGTTTCAGTGGAAGTATTAAAATCACTAAGCTGAAATAAAAATAAAGCTAGATTAAAAAATGACAAAATAACATATCAACATAAACAAACTAAAAGTCAAATGAAACCTGAAAATGTAATTCAATTCAATAATATTATATGATTTCCTAATATAATTTATGGTAAAAGTATATAAATAATACTAAAATAACACTGTTTAAGAGCCCTCCAAAATGTGACGCTGATAAAACAGTCACACTGTCACTGTCATATTTTACACAGAAATATTTTTCCTATGTGTATGTTGCTTCCATCAAAAAATTGTCATAAAACACAGCAGCTTTTGAATGGAAATGAAAAATCATGGCCTTCCTTCCTGTCTCTTTTAGCTGTCCCTGCTCCATCTGGCCTGTCATTCGGTGAAGTGACCGCAGACACTATGCTGGTGACCTGGAAAGCCCCTCAGGTGCCCAGATCCTCTGATATCGAGCGCTACATCATCCACTATCATCCAGTCGATGACGACGATGACACCATTGAGCAAACTGTAGATGGAAACACAAACTACGTTGTTCTTCGCCGTACGTGACTTATAAAAGAATTGACCCTTATTTGTTTGCGCAGTTCTGTCCGTAGTGAATACTCATTAGTAAAGAGACTCCCTGTGTTATTTTTAGATCTTGTGCCCAACACTGAGTACATGGTGAGCGTGATTTGTGTCTATGAAGAGAGAGAGAGCTCACCTGCCATTGGCACTCAGAGAACAGGTGAGTTCGTTGGCTAAAGCTGTTAAATAAGAGATCTGTTTCATTGGTTGACTAAGTCATGCATCCTTTTTACTTCACAGTCCTCGATGCACCTGTCGGCCTGCAGTTCTCAGATGTTGGCACCAACTCCTTCACCGTACGCTGGCAGGCTCCTCAGGCCGTTATCTCAGGATACCGTATCCGCTACCAAATGACCAGTGGGGGACGTGCTAAAGAGGAGAGACTGCCCCCATCGAGGAGCCATTTCACCCTCACAGGCCTGACCCCGGAGACCGACTACAGCATCAGCGTCTACGCCGTCAGCGGATCCCGCGAGAGTCTGCCTCTAACTGGAACTCAGTCTACCAGTATGCTGCTACTTTCTGACTTTTGTGTTCTCATTGCAGCTCACTTTAGATCTTATTCGTACTAATTGTCTGTCATCACTGTTTCTCTGTTAGTCTCTGATGCCCCCACTGACCTGGAAGTCATCTCCTCAACGCCAACCAGCATCACCGTTCGCTGGGATGCCCCCTCTGTCACTGTGAGGTACTACAGGATCACACACGGAGAGTCGGGTAGGTGATTTGGATCATATTGAATAGTGTTGATAAGCTTACGTCACTTAAGGCCATTTCACACCAACACCAATATTCGGCATGAAAAAATTCAGTCTGATTTTCACATGCGATGTGTCGGTTCAAAATAATGCATAAAAATGGCAGATGGACAGCAAAAAAATGCAGATTGACTCTCTGGTAATAGAATAGAAAAGATTTGTAGAAAAGCATAAATTCCCTGGTTACTCCGAAACACAAAGTGCTACACAAGTTTACATTTCTGACATCCGCTTGGCACAAAGAAAGGCAGTCAAACAGTATTTAAATGTTGTCTAACAGCAGTTCAGATTTTTTTTATTCACTATGACGTTTATAAAATAACACAAAATGACAAGAAATTGTGAAAAATGTAACCCTCCCTCAAAATCAGGTCCCCATAAAGACGCTGCGCGATCCTATTTGCTCACATATCTTATAAACCATGCATTTGCTCTTACCTTACATGTATTCACAATAATCTTCAATGTAATTGTGTGTCAAAATACATTTACAATTAATACATTTTACATTTAAATTTCTGGTCATGTGACCGAAAGTGCAAATCTTGCTGGTGGGCCATCTTTATTTGAAGTGCAATGGAAACGTAATTAGAACCTCTCTGTAAAAACAATGAAATGCACTGATGAAATGCAAATGATTGTCAGTCTGAACAGATTTTTTCAAATTTAAATGTTTATTGCACCATTTTTTTCCACAGAATATTCGTCTTTGTGTGAATTGATGGTCATTTTACCACAGTTTGTTTGGCGTTGACCGAATTGTTCTAATTTTTCGCATCCAGGAGGTTTTGACGCTCCTCAGGAATTTACTGTTCCCGGCTCCCAGTCTACTGCCACTATTGAAGGCCTCCGTCCAGGCACTGATTACACTATCACTGTTTACGCTGTGACCGGCAGAGGGGACAGCCCTGCGTCCAGCACCCCCATCCATGTTATACACAGAACGGGTAAACCGATGCATCTGAGAATGTCTGTCAGATCTTTGTTCACTGATTTAACAGACTTTTTAAGGATTTCAAAAGACAGGATGGTGTAGAAATTACACTCAGCTGAGAGCAGAAAGGTATAAATAATGTGCTTTGTTTCTTTAAACATAGATATCGAGTCTCCATCAGAGATGGAGGTGACTGATTTGAAGGACAACACTATTACTGTACGCTGGAGCCCAGCAGTGGGTCCCATCTCAGGATATCGTGTCACAGGAACTCCACTAAATGGACAGGGACCTACTTTCTCTGAGGTGGTTGCTCCAGGTAATGCTTATCATTCTCAATAAAAAAATATTGTGTTGTGCCTACTCTTGAAATGAAGGAGGTAATGCTGTCAGAGTGAGAGTTAAATAGGTGTGTTTTTCACATGTAACTGCAGACCAGATTGAAATGACGTTCTCTGGCCTGATGCCGACAGCGGAGTACACCGTCAGTGTGTACGCTTTGGGACAGGACGGAGAGAGCCCCCCTCTGGTCGAAACTATAGTCACAAGTAGGTGTAAAAACTTAGAAAAATACTTATCTTTTTTGCTTCAGTGTCATATAGTGTGTAAACGTGATTGGATCCCTTGTGAAACAGAAGTACACTTTAGCATATTTTTTAAAGGAGTGCTTATTACAAAAATAATGCTAATTTTGTACAAACTGAATATAATGTTTTCAGATATTTTAGTTTATTAAATGCAACTAAATGAATGTGTATTATAGTTTAATTCTATATTAAATGCAATTAGTTGAACATTAGTGTTTTTTTAAATCTGCTTAATATACATTTTTTATGTAATATCAAATAACACATTACAGTTAAACTAGTACAGTTTAGTAATAGTACATGTGCTTCAAGCATACTACTTTTCAAGCATGACAAAACATTATTAAAACAATGATTTAAAATGTACTATAATTTTTTTTTATTTGCTATTACAAAGTGTACATTTTAAATGTGTTCTTAAATGTTTCAGGAAAGTCATACAATTAGTACACTTAACAAGTGGCTTTAATTTCATACATTTTATTATTAATTTGCAAGTACAGTACAACATTCAATAAAATTAAGTCACTTCTTCATAAAGGATGTTAAAGACTTATGAACATGTCACTGTTAATACATCAATTTGTAAATATTATAAAATATTGCAGATGTAATGACATCACGTTTAATTGAAACAGATTCATTCATAGTTTCAAATATTCTTTTCCTAGTGGTGGACAAACCCAAAGACCTGTCCTTCACTGATGTGGACTCAACCTCCATGCGCATCTCCTGGGAGAGTCCTGATGGGGTGGTCTCCTCTTACAGAGTGCTGTACTACAGTCCAGAGGAGGGGGAGAGAGAGCTGTTCCCTGCCCCACATGGAGAGGATGAGTCTGCAGTGCTGCATGGCCTCAGACCGGGCACAGAATACACTGTTAAAGTCATTGCACTGCATGACTGGACCCCCAGCACTCCATTAGTGGGCACTCAAACAACAGGTATTACTTTGGACTGCTACTCTTCTACTATTTAAGATCAGGTCTATCAAAATTCAGTATTTCTGACTGTAATAATAATTTTAATGTATAATAATATTTTAAATTGTATTGTTATACAATTTTAATTCCTTATGTAAAAATGTAACCTAATTATAAATGCTGCTTATTATTTACTCAGTCCTCACAATAAGACTCTATCAAAAGTTATGGAGTGAATGAAACCTAAAATCATTAAATTAAAGTGACGTGTGCTTGTATCTTTCCAAGCAACTTTTAAAAAATGCTGAAAAAATGTATCACAGTTTCCACAAAACTATTAAGTAGCACAACAGTTTTCAACATTGATAATAATAAGAAATATTTCTTGAGCAGCAAATCAGAATATTAGAGTGATTTCTGAAGGATCATGTGACACTGAAGACTAGAGTAATGATGCTAAAATTTCAGCTTTGCCATCACAGAAATAAATATATATATATATATATATATATATATATTCAAATAGAAAACAGTTATTTTGAATTGCAATAATATTTCACAATATTACTATTTACTGTATTCTTACTGTAACTTAACTTTTAGTAGCCACCTAGCAATCACCCAGAACACCTTAGCAACTGCACAGTAACATGCTAAACACCTACAACAATATCCTTTACAACATCGCAGTATTGTGGTAGTGAGTGTCGTGTTCTTTAGAAAATGTTCAAATCTGGTCATTTAAGTATTATTTTCTTTAATGTTCTCTTCTCTCCCTGTAGCTATTCCTGGACCCACAAGTCTGCACTTTTCCCAGGTGGGTCCGACATCCTTCACTGTCTCCTGGTCTTCTTCTGATGTCAGGCTGACAGGTTACCGTGTGGCCATCACCCCCAAGAGCAAGAATGGACCCACTAAAGAGGACAACATCTCCCCTGACTCAACTGAGTTCCACGCCACTGGACTCATGGTGAATAACCATCTCACACTTGCAGTGTTCATGTTCATTCTCTCAAAACTTTAACCTTACTGATATTAGACGTAATGTAGAACAAAATACTCTCATGCTTTTCGTGCCAAAAAGTGCTTAAAACAGCACTGAGGGGTTTCATGGAAAAATCTCTATCGAAACAGCTGTTCCTCAGGTTTTGAGGCATTTATTTCTTGATTTTAGCTGTGGTTGTGGGTTACTGGTAGTAAGAGAGCAATGCTAATCTCCATCAGGCAAACCTCACACTGTACGTCTACCTTGTCATTTTGGTCAGTGGGTAGATCAAAGATTAAAGCCTGTGCCAGATTTTTTTCAGAAAATTATATGGTGTTTTGTGAAGCACATTTTCAAGGCTTTGCTTCATTTCTTCCCCCTGTATGTGTGTTTATAGCCTGGCACTGATTATGAAGTGGAGGTTTACGGTGTGATGAACTCTCTCACCAGCCGTCGTGTCAAAGGAGAAATCACAACACCTGACAGTAAGCCACCTTCCCTAAAACATCACTGAATCAGTCCCGCATTCTCCACCAATTTACTGTGTGCTGGCCAAAACTAAATCTAGATCTCATTTTCCCAGACATCAGTCCACCTCGACGTGTCCGTATAGCCAATGTGAAGGACTCCTCCATCACTCTCACCTGGCGCTCTAAGACCGAGGCCATCTCTGGCTTCCTGGTAGAGTCCACACCCACCATGGGCGGTCATAACCCTATCCAGAGAACCATTGAACCCGATTCACGCACCTACACCATTACTGGTACAAAACAATATAACTATATTAACTTGTTTTACAGGCTGCAGCATATAAATATTTGTTTTGAAATCTGAGATTGGTTTGATCATATGATTCTGCAGGTCTGGAGCCAGGAACCACTTATAAAATCAATATCTATACTCTGAATGGAAGCTCACGTAGTGAGCCTTTCACCCTTACAGCTACTACAGGTATAATAATATAATGTAATATAATATAATATTATATAATATTATATATTTAATAAATATTTAATATTTTTTGCAAAACCAGCAAAACCAGTTATCAGCCCACCCACAAACCTCCATTTCACCTCTTTGACTCCTACTTCGATCTCCTTCACCTGGGAGCCTCCACGAAGCACTATCACTGGATACTATGTGACTTATGAAGAGGCTGGAGACATTCCTAAAGAGTTGACCCCTCGACCTCAGGCTGGCAGGACCTTCGCTTCCATCTCTGGTACTGTTCTTTCTCTGTTTATAGCTTTCATAATGTTGTGCCTTTTTGTTTCTCCTTAATTTTGTTGATAGTTTTTGATTAACGTTTTTGTGGTCTATATATGTAGGTTTGAAACCGGGCACGGAGTACATTATCAAGATTGTGGCATTAAATAATGCTCAGAGAAGCATTCCACTGATTGGAAAAGCAAAAACTCGTAAGTACACCTTTGTTAAGCTTTCTCTTACACTCCAGTTTAAAAGTTTGGGGTCAGAAGGTTTTTTTTTTTTTTTTTTTTTTTTTTTTTTTTTTTAGCCTTTGTGCACAGCCAGCCTTGTACTCTTCTAGGTTCAAAAAACTGTCATCCATGAAATGTGTTGCACAAATTCGAACATCTGGTTTGTGCTGTTCTGTTGTAAATAACTCTTAACCAATGATTCCTAATTGCATCTACTTCCGGAAGGCCAAATAAAGTGCTTTTGCTTTCGCACTGAATCACACAGCGTCTCCCTGACATGGCTGCATCAACACTGCTGCTGTTCCTGAAACCACACCTTCTTTCTTTGCGTGCACATTTGGGCGGCATTATGCTAATATTTCCACATATTGACGTAGATATGTGGGGGCGTGTTAGAACGAGCCGTTTTAGGTAGGTGTGGCTGACTCTTAACTATTATAAAGAATATCTCTTTGGATTTGAGACTTTAGTCTTTGCAACTTTACAGATCTTCTTTATGCACCAAGAGCTTGTAACACTCCAAAGAGAAAGGAAAAAATTTAATCGCATCATATGACCCATTTAAATAAGTCTCTAATTTAAAATAACTGATTTGTATCTTAAGATATTTTAGAATATATTTTATTCCTGTGATACCAAGTTGAATTTTCAGCAGTCATTACTCCAATCTTCAGTGTCACATGATCCTTCAGAAATCATTCTAATATGCTGATTTTCTGCTCAAGAAACATGTATTATTGTCAATGTTGAAATAGTAATAGTTTAAGGATTTTTGGATAGAGTATTCAAAAGAACAACTATTGTTTGAAATCTTTTGTAACATTATATGTTTAGTGACACTTTTGATAATGCGTTCTTGCTGAATCCACATCTACATGCTGAAATGCATATTTTAAGTAGTTTGTGGGTACTATTTGCACTAAAACTGTTATTACAATATATTTTATGACGATTTTTTATGAAGCTATTAATACATATTACATAGCAAGGCTGGTGATATGTATTATATAATATTACATGATATGTGCAGCTCCTTTTTTAATCACTTACATTTAAAATAAATAAATGCATGGCTGATATAATCAAAGCACAATGAATTAAATGTGCTTTACATTGCCCTCTGCTGGCAAAATATGCTATTGCATTTCTCATTTGCTTGCCCCAACACAATTTCCCTGTTAGAACTGGAAATTCACCAGCCTGCCCCCCAGCTCCCTGACCCCAGCCGGCCCCGCCATGACATCCTGGATGTGCCAGAAGACAACGACCACTTTAACAACCACGTGCATATGCTGGGGCCAAACAGACACAACACATTGGGGCAGCAGGGCCAACACATCTACACTGAATATCAGAGCCACAACCTGGGCAATAAAGGCGAGCAGCCTCATCCCCCAAGCCACCGCGAGCCTCTGGTCTACATCCCCCTGCCGGGAGCAGATGGCCAGAGAGTGCCAGTGGTGCAGGTGAGCGAGGGGCCTGAACCTGGCTTCCCTTTCGGTGGCCTTTACAATGAGACAAACCTGCCCCAGGAAGCTCAGACCCAGACCACAATCATGTGGCAGCCTGTGCCGCACACCTCAGAGTACGTGGTGTCATGCAGTCCCATTACAGAGATCAATGAGAAGAGTTTCCAGGTGAGTAAACAATCAAATCTGATATTGAAACTATTGAAAAAATCGAATTATTCACAATTAATTGCATAGATCATTATTTGCTGATAAAGCTCCTGAATCAAGAAGATCTCAAATATTACAGTACATTATTGTGGCAGAAAATAACTGAATAGACTGAATTACTGAATGGGCATTAAAAAGTTGATTTGAGCCATGTGCATAAGAGCATTTCATGGTAAATGATTAAATGCAATAACTTAAAAATGTAATAATTTATTATAAAATAAATAATATATATATATATATAATAAGTATTTTATATATAAACTACCCTTTAAAAGTTTAGGTAGAAACTGTAAATTAAAAAATAAAAACACATTTATATGTAGCAACCCTTATTAATAGATTGGTATGCTAAAACAACCCACAGGCACAAAACCTATAACACTTCAAGTATAAAAACTAAGCAAAAGTGTGAATTTACCTGTTTGGTCCTATATAATGCTACTATATAGCTACTGATGTGTTTTGTTTTTTTTGTAGTAGTAGTATATTATCAGTGATTAATACATACACTCTCTCCCCTTCAGATGCGTCTGCCTGGTACGTCCACTAGCGCTACACTGATCGGTCTCACCTCTGGTGCCTCCTATAATGTTCTTGTGGAGTCTGTCAATGGAGACCAAAAACAGAAAGTCCTGGAAGATGTTGTGACTGTCGGAAACAGTGGTAAATAATCCCTAAACCAAACATATTTGTAACCACATTTCAGAAGTTTACATGCTCATTCCTGACTCCTCATATGCTTTAGTTCCAGGGGCTGGAGTGGTTCCCACAGGCAGGGATGTGTGCTACGACACATTCACCACCACCTACCATGAGGTGGGCGCAGAGTGGGAGCGCATGTCCGAGACAGGCTTTAAACTCTGGTGCAAGTGCCTTGGCCTCGGCAGTGGTCATTTCAGATGTGATTCATCCAGTGAGTGAATGAGCTGTGCCGCTACATGCTAAACACCACACCTCACTCTAGCATGGGTGACCGTTTGCCAATTACAAATGTTATGTTATATATTTTATGCAATTCTTAGTGAAGTAAAACACATGTGGACTTCAAACTCCATACTGTTGCTCATGCTAGCTTTTCCTGACATGTTTGTAGAGGTCATCAAACATGGCAGCCAGAGATGAGGTGGCTCATGTCTCAGATTTGTATTGCCAGCCTTTAACCAGACGATATTAAACTCTGGGACCAGCTTATTATGTGCAATAACCACTGTATGAATGTGTGTGAAGGATGAATTCACTGGAAACTCTCAAATGTATTTCTCCAGACAATTTTGAGGGTTTACATACTAACCAACACACATCTTTGAATCTACAGAGTGGTGCCATGAAAATGGCCACAACTACCGAATTGGCGAGAAGTGGGACCGTCATGCTGAGAATGGACACATGATGAGCTGCACCTGTCTGGGCAACGGGAAAGGAGAGTTCAAGTGTGAACCCCGTAAGCAGAGTTTTTCAACAGTTGAGTCTAAGCAACTTTCAACATTTAATGGTTAGTTGATTGACGTTCATTCTCTGCTGTAGATGAATCCACCTGTTATGATGATGGGAAGCTCTACCAGGTGGGAAACCAGTGGCAGAAGGAGTATCTCGGAGCAATTTGCACATGTACCTGCTATGGAGGACAACAGGTAACACTAGGCTTCACGTCTTCTCTATATTTCAGTGTATTTACACATTAAAGAGTTTCTACATTATATATTCCCATGATGAAACCCCTGCTGTCTCTCCAGGGCTGGCGCTGTGAGAACTGTCATCGTCCTGGTGCTGAAGTTGACGCGGACCTCATTCAGCCTCCAGTGCGCTCTGATGCTTACGACCGCTACAGAGAGAACGCCCTTCGCAAACTGGTGAGTCTTTATGTGACAGACAAAGGCTTCAAAAACCAAGAATAGAAGAATCAGATAAATCTCTGATGAAGGTCAGATTTGAGTATAATTATAGTGAATATTGTGTAGTATCATGTACTACTACACATTCAAAAGTTTGGGGTCGGTAAGATTTTTAATAAATATCTTATGTTCACCAAGGCTGCATTATTATAATTTTTTAAAATTAAAACACAGTAAAACAGTAATATTGTGAAATATTATTTCATTTTAAAATAACTGTTTTCATTTTAATATATTTTAAAATATAATCTATTCCTGTAATGCAAAGCTGAATTTTCAGCATCATTACTCCAGTCTTCAGAGTCACATGATCCTTCAGAAATCATTGCTGTTCAAGAAACATTTCTGTATTCTTAAAGGGGACATAACACACACAGTTTCACCCAATCTCATGTTAATCTTGAGGACCTATAGAGTACTGCATCCTTGATATCTCCAAAAAGTCTTTAGTTTTACCATATTTATAAAAGAAAGATACAGCTTTATGATTCTCTCCGGAAAAAGCCAAGCCGTGGGCGGAGCTAAAGATAGATGAGCACTTGCGCCGATTGCCAACAAAACAGAGACATTAGATGCCGTTTCACTTACAGTCTGCAGTACTGAATCATGACCGGGATCTTTTATAGCTGGGACCGCTCCATCTTTCAGTATCAAACGATGTGCAAATCCAGCGTGGAACTGGGCCTTGTTTATAAAACATTTGTCAACAAACACACTTGCAAAACTCCGTTGCTGCTCTGGAAAAACAAACTGCATCCACTGTTTATGTAACGCGGGGTTCTTCGGGAAGCTGAACAAGGCTATCTTTCCCTTACAACCAAAAACACACTTCTTTGGAGACATTCTTACCGAGTGAGCAGCGCTGCCAGATGAAGCGCGTTGATGGGTGCGCTCTTGCTCTCGCTCTGGTCGATGCGTGCACAGGTGCGTTCTTCCGAGAGAAATGCCCATATAAGGAGTTCCACCCTCTTCTACGTCATGAAGAGCCACGATCGAAAAAAAACCTCTCCGAAACGTGTACGAACCCAGATGTAAGATTTTTGGCACAGAAATACTCCATCATACGTCCAAATTGTTTTTTGAAACTTTGTCCATGCTTAGCATGAGAATCCAACAACTCTGAATGCATGAAACAGCATTGTACCCCCCCTTTAAGCCCCGTTCACACCTAGAACAATAACTATAAAGATAATGATATTAGCGTCTACACCAGTGAATGATATAGTCTGTTTATTCTAAGCGCACGCACATCTGCCACTTTAAGTTCTCATGCTCATTATAGCCGGATCAGAAGATTGGGTGTAAAAAAAATTATCATTCATCAGCTGGAAAAAAAACGTTCTGAAAGTGATTCCAACGATATTGTTTCTGTTTGCTTTTATCGTTATAGTTGTGGTTTGGACTCTTCTATTCTTTAATAATGAGAATGATTTTTAGAACTTTATCTTTGTTATCTTTATAGTTATTGTCCTTGGTGTGAACGGCCTTTACAATAGAAAGTTCAAAAGATAGCATTTATTCGAAACAGTAAAAACATTCATAAATTTACTAAATGTTAGTCACATTTGATCAATTTAATGCATGCTTTCTGAATAAAAGTATTAAATTATTTTAGAAATAAGTCTTACTGACCCGAAACCTTTAAACGACAGCAATATATATATATATATATAATAGTGGATACTGTAAAGTCAGTGTAACATTATTCCTTATTAAAAAGTGAGGTTAAAAAAGTAAGGGAGATTTGTGGTGTCATTCGAAAAGGAAAATTAGTTTAGACATGGAGTTAGTTAGTTTATTAGATTATGAACCAAAACTTTCTTTTTTCTTTTAAGTAATGTGCACTGCTTAGTCGTGCACAATCAGATAAATTACATGTATTTAATAAAGTTGATAGGGTGACTCTTAATTCCATATTGACTTTCAGTATCTGGAAATGTTTCAGATTTTGCTATAAAACAAACACATTTTTATTTTCTCCATACAGAACATTCAATGTCCAATCGAGTGCCTGAGACCAGACCTCTTAGCAGATGCTCAGAGCCCTCTAGAATAAACGTGTCTATCAATTTTGCCCAGTATTTATTTTAGAAATAAGTCTTACTGACCCGAAACCTTTAAACGACAGCAATATATATATATATATAATAGTGGATACTGTAAAGTCAGTGTAACATTATTCCTTATTAAAAAGTGAGGTTAAAAAAGTAAGGGAGATTTGTGGTGTCATTCGAAAAGGAAAATTAGTTTAGACATGGAGTTAGTTAGTTTATTAGATTATGAACCAAAACTTTCTTTTTTCTTTTAAGTAATGTGCACTGCTTAGTCGTGCACAATCAGATAAATCACATGTATTTAATAAAGTTGATAGGGTGACTCTTAATTCCATATTGACTTTCAGTATCTGGAAATGTTTCAGATTTTGCTATAAAACAAACACATTTTTATTTTCTCCATACAGAACATTCAATGTCCAATCGAGTGCCTGAGACCAGACCTCTTAGCAGATGCTCAGAGCCCTCTAGAATAAACGTGTCTATCAATTTTGCCCAGTAATGGAGAGGACATGGCCCCCAGAGACTGTATCTAGCTCCCTCATTGCCTCTCTGTCCTTATCTTCACTCACACTGCAATCTCTGTCCTGCTGCTTCCACCTGTGACGTCACGCCCAGAGACAAAACTTCTCACTCTTCTGATTGGTCGAGTCAGCAGCCAGTCTTCCTCTGCACAGTGGATGGAAGGACACCATCCATCTACACCAAGATTCCACTGATTTGAAGCTTGGCTGTTGACATAATTTCCATATCCTCTGGAAACTCAAATCAGTGGAACATCAGCAGAGAATCAACACATCTTGCCTTTGTGTTTTTCAGTATTATTGCCTGTTGTCTGATTGTTTTTTTTTATTTTTTATGATTTTGTGACTTTTTGTGTATTTTTGTCAGTGATCAAAACGTTTATTGGTGTTCTTTTCTAAAACAAGCACTGTCTCACAATGAAACCTTTTGTGCCTTGTAGGCATCCTTTTTGTATGATGTAATATTCACCCCTCCCTAATCTGATTGGCTGGTTGATCTGTGGCCTTTGTGTCCGTCAGGAGACAAAGGACAGCACTGTGTTAATGAAGAAGTGAACTTTTTTTTTTTTCTTTTATTTATCCCTTTTATGTATGTGTTTTGATGGAATGCAGATTATGGGTGTATACTGTTTTCATGTTTGTGTTTTAGGTGCCAAAGTCTTAACTACTGTGGACAAAAATACTTTTTAATAAATTCCTTCTTTTTTTTTTTTTTACAATGTTTGTGATTCAAAGCCTATTTGTCAGAAGCTTCCATGGCACTAAAGCAGCATTCATCTGGTGTGTTATTATTTTTCTTGTGGTTTTAATAAGGATAACCGCTATCAGCATGCAAAGTTTTTGTAAAATGTTTTAACTTGAAATTGTATCAAAACAAGTGGCATTTGTGTATGTGCCTTTAAATGCAAATGAGCTGCTGCCTCCGCCCCCTTTCCAGATGAGGGCGGAGCCTTTACAACTTGCGCTTCAGATAGACTGTAATCAACCAAATTGGAGAATCTCACGCAGCCAAAATGTCAGAAATTATTGATGAAATATGCAGACAGTGATTGTTTTCAGGATAAAACTAACGACATAGCTCTGCTCTCTGTGAGTACAGTCAGAGACAGTGGTATCTTTAGCCACATTAGCTGTACAGCATGCTAACGAGCACATCTGGAAATGCGATTTGGAAACATTGAGAAAATATGAGGTGATTCTTACTTGTTCTGCATATGATGTTTGAGCATGAGCAGCTGGTATTGACCCATTTTTCATCATCAGCTTCTGTGCAAAACCCGTGTTTAAACACTTGTTTACGAAGTGCACAAATATATACGACTCTTCGGCACATTTCCTTCCACAAATCAAATTAATCCACAGTGTTCTCCGTTGCTCAGATGCCGGGAGTCTTTGAAAACTGTCATTTGTCCAACCAAAAACATTTGTAATGTTTAGGTGGCACAGACAATATGTAAATAGGAGCCATAGCCACGATATAAACATGGCAGACTATGTGCGGTTCAATCAGGGCGGGGTCAATGCAAATAGGGAACATTATGGCCAGTCATGGGCGGGGCTTAGCCCTTCTGTGACGTCACAAAAATCTCAAACGGAGATTTTCATACACTGCTTCTTCTGATTTATGGAGATTATAAAAAAATTAATGGATGGGTTTGTACCATTATAGGCTGGTTGTTTAAACACACTGTGGACACACATCAGTGTTCAAACAGCACGTAAAAGTGAATTTTGCACATTAGGTCCCTTTTAAAATATCAGTTTCGAAATCCTCCCAAACGTCTGTTTGGTGAATTTCGGCTTCGAAATTCCATGAAAAGTGTGGTTTGCTTTACGGCAGCAACAAATGCATCTGTTATCCAACGTAATTATACAGTGACATACTTACGTTTTTTTTTTTTACTTCTCATTATAGTTGTTGTTGCTGTATCTCAATAATCAATAAACTGAATCATTGTAAGAGTAAATATTTTCCTAGCTGTATTCGTTTGGATGGAAGTCATCACACTTTTCCTTGAGTGATTTCTATTGCTGAACAGATGGAGGTTGGCTTGGCTGCAGCTGATGCCATGCGCGGAATGGAGTATGTAGCAGGAATTGCTCCAGATATTCTTTGTGAGTGAAATCCCTCTTTGTTTGTTTCTTCTTGAAGATCATACTAATTGGTGTCCCCATGTTAAAGAAGATTGTTGGTTACCACCGATGTAGCCAGGACCTTCTGCCACTTTATTTTTCAGACAGATCCATTCAGCTTCTCTTGAGACAGGGCATGTTTTGTTGGAGTCCTGTTTTCAGTTACATTTGAGCTTCGGGACTGAGGAGAATTGGCCTTTGAGCTTCTAGAGGAGCAGATCCAGCCTGTATGTGAAAAGGCTTATGTAGCCTACGTATCATATCATCAAGTCTGTGACAAAACATTTCATAGAACACTGATGCAAAAGCAGATTCATGTAGCTAGTTACTCTGGACATTCTACTGCATTGTTTCCCAACTGGGGCTTTTCAAATAAGACGAATCTTGTTTTTAAATAATCTAAAACGACTACAAATCAAAATGAAAACTGACTTTGATCATATTTCTTTATTCATTCCATCAACAACTGTCATTTTTATTTTAGAACCAGGTTTCTCACGGTGTTAAAAAACATGAGGGATTTTTAAAGTGAGATTTCTAGACCTGGAAAAGTCAAGGAAATTAATATAATCGTAAAAGCTCCGTATTTCTAAAATTGAATATAGATTTGTCTAGTTATGTTAAGCTCTAAAATATTGTTCTTAATTATTTTACTTAATTAGTTTAATATATTGACACTCCTAGTTTCAGTAAATGAAAAAGGCTCTCTGTCATTACAGCAGAAGTACCAGAATTATGTTACCATACATGTGGTACCTTTGAATCTACTACTGGGTGGCCGTGTTTGATTTCCAAGAAAATGATGCCCAAATATGATACAGGACAGATTAATGATACATTAATCATTGATATATCACTCAGAATTGGTTTTTATGCTATTTTACATTAATAATCACAAAATATAATCACCAAATAATCAAATGTACCATTAAACTTATCTGACTTTTTCACTCTACATCCTGGCTCTTTTTGAGAATGGCACATTATTAGAATTCCAGTTTTATTTTGGGCAGAAAGCACAATCTATAGGAGAGGTTGAATCCTAATTGACACAAAATTATGTTTTTATTTTTCCACAGCAGAGGGCAGTATTGGTCTTTGCTCAGTTTAAGACTGCTATCTCATTCTACATTTTATGGTTCTCAAGTGTGTTTGTATTGGACATATTCAATGGACCT